TTTAGAAGCAACACTGCATAAGAAATTAAGTCATATGTGTATTTTGTGTTCATCACATTATTTTGAGCTTGTTTATATGAGCAATATCACTCTCGTACTCGAGCGACAGTGGCTCTATATCAGCATGGCTGTGATTAGGCCAGAGGCAAGAGGCCGGAGGCAATCACAGCCACTGATATAGAGCTGGTATTGGAAGTGTTGAAGGAGGCCCCGGCAGAGAAACATGAGGATCTGGCTCTTGAGGAGACTCAGAAATCACAAAAGAGGCCAAAATGTTTGTTTCGGTGCCAATCAGTTGAGCTTCCTCGGAGAAAACCGTTGCGAGGGATGGTCCTGGTGATCTTTTGAAATGAAGTAACAGTTTTGGGCGAGGTTTTTATGGTTCACTGGAGACTTTACCAATGAATTCAAGTCATTTAGCTGAAAATGAGAACAACGTCTCCGATTTGTTATAAAACGTAGTTTAAATGCATTGCAACAAACTCATTCCACTGTTAAACATGAACTCTTGATTGCTTTTGAAAGAAGTGTTGCTCTTTTTTTTACTTGTTTTCTAGTTAAAATATCTCAAATATATGAGATGAAATACATTTACTTTAGAAGCAACACTGCATAAGAAATTAAGTCATATGTGTATTTTGTGTTCATCACATTATTTTGAGCTTGTTTATATGAGCAATATCACTCTCGTACTCGAGCGACAGTGGCTCTATATCAGCATGGCTGTGATTAGGCCAGAGGCAAGAGGCCGGAGGCAATCACAGCCACTGATATAGAGCTGGTATTGCTCGAGTACGAGAGTGATATTGCGTTTTTACAACAGTTCGACTCGAGTACGAGAGTGATACCGGCTCTATATATCTCGAGTACGAGAGTGATATTGCGTTTATACAACAGTTCGACAGAACATGTGTGTAATTAAACAAGAAACAACGGAGTGCCTAATAAAACCCTCTTTTGTGCGGAACTACTTCCTTCCGCCACGGATTCAAAGCTCAAGACAGTTAAACATACGTCACTTTTAGAATTGGTATCAAGGGCATGTGCTGCTTCAGTTAGGTTATTAGTGAGAAATAATGAGGTTATAAGAGAGAAACAATGCGGCAAGACGTGCATCCAAATGAGAGAGAGAGAGAGACCGCGAAGCTTGACGTTTCTTCTTATATTAACTAACGTACTCTACGATTAGCTCAGTGAATAATAATACAAAAAACATAGACCCGGCTAGAACAAGCGGAGTGATACAAAATTGTGAAAGGGCGTTCCTGTAGCGATACCAGTACAATGTCTCACGGTTCTCAACCAATCAGATTTGAGAACCAGAACGAACTGTTGTATAAAAGTGAAAAAATCTGCCAGTGTAGTAAGACAAAATTAGGGAAGCTTATTCCCACCACATATTAAAAAAAATAGTTTTTCTCTTTTTCTCTCATAATTCTTACTTTTATTTTCTCCCTCTCAGTTGTGCCATTTTTCCTCAGAATTGCGAAATTGTGAGAAGTCTTTTTTCTTTAAATTATGTAAACTGCGAGGTATAAACTCAAGATATAAGAATTGCAAAAGAACTTCGAGTTATGAGATATAGAAATAAATGTGAGGGGGAAAAGTCAGAATTGCGCAATTATCTTTATATTTATTCATTTATTTATTTTTTATTACGTGGTTGCAACAAGCTTGATTTTTTTTTTCTTTCTTGCAAGTCCAAATCTCACAATTCTGCCTTTTCTTCTAAGAATTGCGAGATTAAAAATCAGTAAAAATGTGCCATTTTTATTTATTCTTTTATTCGGTGGTGGTGATAATCTTCCATACAAAATACACTTGAAGTAATAAAGCTACATTGTCTGAAAACAATTATTAATATCTATGCAGAGTTGCTTCTCAATTTTTTTTAAACGATACTTAGATATATACTTATTACGAATTATGTATTGTATTCCTGTGTGGAAAATTTTTGCTATGACTGCTGACAAAGGCATAAAAGTATTTTTACCTTCAGTACAGACATATATCTATAAAAAGGAAATGAAGGAATTTATCTTTTAAGGATTCTTAGATATTTTGGCTGAAAAATAAGACAAATATACTTTTTTTTGTTTTTTGTTTGTTTTTGTTGCATTGTGGAAAATTCCAGCAAAGTTGGCAGACAAAAGTATCAATTACAGACAAGTATATTTAAACACATTTGATTATCATTCAAAGTTGGCTGTTTTACCTAATGTTTAGGTGTTCTGTATATATTTATGATTTTTTTAAAGAGTATTGTGGCATTAGCTTAGCAACATCCTATGTTATACTCTATTGGAATCAGATGTGGAGCGCTATTTGTGTCAGTGTTGTTGCCTTTGTAGAATGTTCCAAATAGGTTCCATTTCAGTTAGAATGCTCCTTATGTAAGTAGCAGATCAGCAAAGCATCTCACTATTTGTTTTTTTAGATGCATGTTTGTTCTAATTCTTCAAACTCTGTTCAAAATTTGCCAGGCTGACAATCCTTTACTTCTATCTCAGGAATGTTCGACTTACTCTGAAACATGAGGTGTCTGTCAGTGAGAAATTGAACTCTTATTTTTTTTCCCCCCAGTGGCGTTTCATGTGTTTTATCCCCCAGTCTTGAGTTCTTCGTGGAGAAGAGAAGAGTTAACCTGGCTGGTCTATTTCAGGCCAGCTCAAAATGAGCCGTAATGATGATGCTGTTTCTGTGGTCACTGGCTTTATGCATGCCTTGGAGTTTTATTGATTCTGGTTATGGTCAACAGCCAAGTTAGGAGGATGGCCTACTTTCACCCGTCTGAGAAACCAGGCTGGAAAAGTTTAAACACTTCCACTGTTCATTTTGCACACTTTTAGGCTTACAATTATGCATTCATGTTTACCAGCAAATTCAGCTAGTATTTTTTTTTTACTGATGTTTTTGCTGTAATTTGTCCTGCTATGCCTATTTGATAAAATATAGTTTTTTTTGAGGGGGGGGGGGGTTTGATTTGCATTTCCATAGGAAATTGATTGGAACGTGAAAGCGTGTGATCTTTTATTAAAATGACCGAAACTGTTGAATTTTAATTTGGAGTGTGCATTAAAGTACATTTTAAAGTCATTTTGATTTTACTAGGTTATTTATGTGATGGAAATATTTTAATGATGGAAAACAGTCATTGAAGGGATTGTTTGGAATATTGGATTATCATTATACCTTCATGTATACTTCAAAAGCATTATGAAATTATAACCAAAGGCCAGTATTATAAGTGCCGTGTGCAAAATGAGATTCACTCTGTTTGCATGTTGAGCAACTTTGTTGTTTGCGGAGTTTAGTTATTTCCTCTTTCCTTACTAACTGCAAAGCAGTATTTTCTTAAAGGGGTCATATGATGCTGCTAAACAGAACATTATTTTGTGTATTTGGTGTAATGAAATGTTTTTATGCGGTTTAAGGTTAAAAACACATTATTTTCCACATACTGCACATTATTGTTTCTCCTCTATGCCCCGCCTTTCTGAAACGCGTCGATTTTTACAAAGCTCATCGGTCTGAAAAAGCGAGGTGTGCTCTGATTGGCCAGCTATCCAGTGCGTTGTGATTGGCCGAATTCCTCAAGCGTGTGACGGAAATGTTACGTCCCTTACCATATTGTGATGCCTGCGGCAACCACATGTGACGACCCCGGGCTGGACTCCGCTTCGTCCACGGTGAAAGCCGAAAGTTGATGTATTTCCTCAGCAACCAGCACGGATTAGCTTTAGGCATGACGAAGCGATATCGTCCTCTTTTGGAAGGCCAAACAAAGTAGTTTCGCTTTCACAACGAAGCACACCGCGCCTTCACGACATGGCGGCGGCGGCAACAATACTACAGCGAGAATAAAAGTTACGCCTTCTTGTATCACTCCGCTCGTTATGCAAATCTTCCCACACAGTGACGTAGGTATGTGGGGGCGTGTTAGAACGAGGCATTTTAGGTAGGTGTGGCTGACTCTTAACTTTTATAAAGAATATCTCTTTGGATTTGAGACTTTAGTCTTTGCAACTTTACAGATCTTCTTTATGCACCAAGAGCTTGTAAGACACCAAAGAGAAAGGAAAAATTGAAATCGCATCATATGACCCCTTTAAGCGTTTTTCTTATTTTTAAAATCTTGTTTTATATACTTAATCATCTTGCATTTATTACTTGAGTAAATGTATCTTCTTTTAAAGATCTTTGTTTTGTTTTATAGTAAAAACTTTTATGCAAATTTTTGTCTATGGAATGACCGTAAACCATGAGTGACTGTAGTGCTTTCTAACTCTTTTATGTTGCTATGCTGGGATGCAGTTGTCATGTCGATATTGACACCTATGATGTAGCAGCTGTGGCTTTGTACTGTATATTTATAGAGATGTGCTGTCTATTCACGGCAGCACACTGACTCTAACTGTGACCACAGTTTCCGGTGAGATGTAGCTACACCGATGCAATTGCCACTCGTGATCAGAGTTTATTGCAGGGACATGCTTTAGGCAGATTAAATAAAGGAGCTGTTTAGTCTGAGTCAGACGCCGCAAATAATAAGGTCAGATGGGGAGCTGCAGGCCTGCGAAATAAAGGGTAGGGGCGATAGGTTCATCCAAAGAGCACCAGTAATGGCACCTTATCTCGGTTTTTTTAATTAAATCCTGAAGTTCTTGTTTACAAATGATTGATCTAATTGAGATGAATGAGACTGACTGGGACTTGTTCCAAAACAAAAAGTGAAAGGTTAATGGTAAGAAACAAAGTAGGCCAGTATGGAATGTAGGACTGTAAAACCTAATCAATAAAATCAATGAAAATGGTTGTTGACATGTCATTATTGGATGGTTGGCTCTATGTGCTGTCAAGGACAACCTTTGTCAGTAAATGTCACTTTGCAGCGCTGAAAATCTGGGCTAGGTTCAAAAATGCATTCATAAAATGGCACAGTGATTTTTGATGATGAGTTATCCAAAGAAATTGGGGGTCGGGGGGTTGTATTAAAATCTTTAAAGAAGGCAATTAACGTATTGTTTCATGTGTTCTCCATTCACATGAGTGATCAGATCACCCGCTCGCAGTCCAGCCTCATGGGCAGGGCTGCTCTCCTCCACACCCTGACAGAAAGAGCAAGAGGAGTCAGAACAACCAGACCGATAAGCACCTGAAAAGCTCAGTGATTCTCTGCTCACCGAGACCATGTGGTGTATGGTGTAGATGTCGCTGGTCCCCATGTACACACGAATGGTCTGCAGGGTGAAGCCGTATTTCTTCCCAGAGCTGTGGATGATGATGGGGGGGCGGAGCCTGCTGATGCTGAGTGACAGGTCTCGATTGGGGGAGGAGTCTCGGGATGATGGGTTAGAGGAAAACGATCGAGGGGAAATAGAGCGCGCTTGCAGGCTGCCACTCCCATCATCTGGTGAGGAGGAAGGGGAAAAATGTCAAAAATAATACAGATTTTAAGATTTAGTTTTGGAATTTTGCCTTTATTACGACAGGATAGTGTCGAGATTACAAAAAGCGAAGAGAGAGAGAGAGGGGTGGGATCGGGAAAGGTCCTTGAGGCGGGGTTCGATCTCGGGACGCCCGTAGCACAATGACGCGGTGCAGCACTGCCCACAAGGCTATCAGCGCCGACTGCATGCCAAGTTCTTTGCCAGTCTGTACCTTAATTTACTGTAATATTCTTATTTGTATGTTCTATAAAGTAAAGTAAATATTTAGCAAAATAGAGTGATTAATGGAAGAAGTTATCAATTTATCACTCAAGTTAGTTGCAGGCCTAATTCTTTGCCAGTCTATCTTATTTTACTGTAATCTGTAGGCCCCTATGTTTTATAAACTCATACTTTGCAAAATCAGTTTTTAGGTGTTGCAGTTTGTCTTAATTCTTTGCGTCCTCTTTTCCAGGTGCTAGATGGTGGTTGTGAAGGCAGTGCGTAATGCTGAAGGGGCTCGTCCTGAGTCAGAATGAGTGTCAAAGATGGCGATGGGACAACTAGCCACGATGGAAAGGCCTACGAACTTCAGATATACCCCCGACTCTCTCTGGAGACGGCATCGTGCTGTACACTCAGAGTCACCAAGGAGGCCACCGCAGCTAGCGTCATACGGGATGCGGCAGCGACCCTTGGACTGGACGCCAGCAAGCTCTACGTCCTGGCCGAGGTGAAGGAGTGCGGCGGGGAGGAGTGGGTGCTTGAATCAACCGACCTTCCGGTGCACAGGGTCCTTCTCTGGCCGAGAAAAGCCCAAGAACAACATTCTCAGAAAGAGGGATTTTACTTCCTCCTCCAGGAGCGCAACCACGATGGCTCCATCCACTACGTGCACCTGCCCGCCGTGGGGAATGAGCAGGAGTCCAAGCGACTGGTTGCTCGGGGCTTCCTCCCACCCCAGCAGGAGGACTTTGAGGACCTCTGCAACCTTCCGGTCCTAAGTGAGGACAGCATCTTGGATAACCTCCGCATTCGTTTTCAGAAGAATAAAATTTATACATACGCTGGCAGCATCCTCATTGCCATCAATCCCTTTAAGTTCTTACCCATTTACAATCCCAAATACGTCAAAATGTACGAGAACCACCAGTTGGGCAAGCTGGAACCTCATATTTTCGCCATTGCCGATGTAGCCTACTACGCCATGTTGCGCAAGCATGTCAACCAGTGTATCGTTATCTCAGGAGAGAGCGGATCAGGCAAAACTCAAAGCACTAACTTCCTCATTCACTGCTTGACGGCTCTCAGCCAGAAGGGTTATGCAAGCGGCGTGGAACGAACCATCTTGGGTGCTGGACCTGTGCTGGAGGTAAGATCATCACCACCACCTTGATGCAAACAAGGTTTGGTTACATTCGTTTGCAAGCAAATTCGGGAATAGTAGATTCGTTCAGGGACTTACTGGGACATGGGAAAGTACCAACATCCTCTTGGAGAAGTTCTGAGCTTGAGTCTCTAGAGTTTTGAAACCTTTGCGATGCTTTGTTTTAGTGTATTGAAAGGGTGAAGGTAAAGGAAGTTAACTGATGGATTCACATGTCTACCCCAAAAAATGGTAATGACTTGTAAGAACCCTACAATTTGATTGTCAATGCTGGATGTCTGCGCAGTATTCTATCTTTTTTGAGCATTATGCATTAGTTTTGTGTATGACTTTGATCCCTTGGAGACTTACTTCTACAGACGAGCTTTTTGGTTGGAATTGTAGAGTCTGGAAAAGCACTCTGCTTTAAACATTCGCAAGGCAAGCTTAGAATAATTTAATTCAGGATCAGTGGATATGTTGGAGGATTTACTGGGATATGGGATAGGTGAAAACTGTTTCTCATAATGCCAAATTGCTCTTATATTTCATGCTGTACAGATTCTAAGCTCAAGTCTCTAGAGTTTTAAAACCTTTCACAGGTTTTGTTGTAGTTACTGAGATGGTTAAAATAAAGGTAGTCCGTTGATAGGTCTGCGGTTTGCAGTTATCAACCTTAAAATTGTCAACCCCCCAAAATATTCATGTTATATAAGAACCCTACAGTCGATTGGGTGTTTGTGTAGTATCTTTATTTGAGCATTATACATTCTTTTTTTTTTTTTCAAATCCTTGGAGGCTTGCTTCTACAAAATGGCTCTTTGGTTGGAATTGTAGGGTCTGGAAGACCCTACAAGACCCTAAATAGAGCTCTCTACTTTAAACAATGCTTCGTAACAATCATAATGACAGCTTATCCACAGATCTCTCAGTCTTCACTGTAAACTGTAGCTCTTTAGATCAGTTATTTACATAGTGATTTCCCACAAGCCTGTGCTTGAAAACCGGGGTCACAACTTGTTGTACTTGCATAGCTCATGTTGCAGTACCGGCTAACCTACATCTGGAGGCCTTCCTCAGGGGTCGTGTCTCATGCAGTTCTTGTTGTTTCAGGCACATTCAGTTATTTTGCAAAATATCAGCAGAAACCCTTCCCCAACTCTGATCTCATGGCGGTTTATGGTAGTGGTAACCCTCGTGCTGGGAAAAACTAACTTTGAGACTCAAGAGCACATTTGGAGAACGGTTAGGGTGGATGTTGGGATATTTTCACAGCTTGAGGGTTAGCATCTAAAGATTCTTGTCAAGTCATTCTTCTCGAGATTTCACTCTTGCATACAAATGCTGTTTTTGAAGTTATCAGTCAGACAAAACCAACCCACTCGGCTTCTGAGATTCACATCTCTTCTCAGTACTTCAGAAGTTTCCTGTACACATGATGTCATTAGAAATTCTTTGGTGTCATTTCTTATCTCAGCCCCCTTTATCAGAATAAAGTTTGCTTGTGTAGCAAGTCCCGAAAGAGATGAAAGATGTCAGGTTTTGTGTTGACGCCTGCCCCAGTGTTTGTGGTTTCTGAAAACTAGAAGTCATTTCTCCGCAGTCAGCACAGTCATTGTCCTTTGACAGACGCGTCTTCAGGCTTCGTTACAAAATATTCCCCGCGTCTCTGCACTTGTGGTGAGAAGCAGCCTGTGAAACTGGTCAATTGAACACTGCGACCAGAACAAGCCTCAATCCAGACGTTTTCAATGATAGGAGTCCGATCTCCCTGGGGTTTCTCTTCCTTTTATGGTCTCATGAAGTTGATTTGTCTCATCCATCTTCCGAGACTTTCAATTGGTGCTGATTTTTAAGAAAGGACACAATATTCCTTTTATTATTCTCTGCATTGTATTAGAGAGAAATGGCTCAGAAAACCGGACCGAATTGAGTTCTATCTTGCGTTGTCAGATTTATCTATATGTCTGCGCTTCTCTTACTCCCACATATTGACATTTTGAACGTTTTATGCGACGTGCAGCATGCTTATGTCCCGCCGGTTCATATGTACACCTCTAACCTCCGAACCACGCAGCAGATTCGTTCGGAATGAATCTTTTCCCAAATCGTCCCTCCCTAACATTTTTGTCTCGTTTTTATTCATTGACGAAAATGTCAGTAGATTTACATCATAGTTTTTGTCATTCAAAAAGAGTTTTAGTTCGTTGTCGTCGGTGAAAAAAATGTAGTTAATGACTAAATTAACACTGCTGCAAGCATTTGTGAATCGCGTCCTGTGCATTTGCGAACTGTGAAACATTTCTTGCGTCAAGACGTGCTGACAATCCACAAATGCGTGGACTCCACCCACCGTCTACTCAAGCCAATCAGATAACAGCCACATTTCGCTGACCAGTCGTAGCATGATCTCGCTATAGCGAGATAATACTATTTCATAGTATTTAATGTCATTTCCGCCAAAATAAAAGTTGAGAAAAAGCAAGAACTCCATCAACATTAATAAATGTTAGTATTGTAATTTTACTGTTGTTCTGAAAAAAAGTAAGACAATAATAATGATTATAATAATTACAACAGCTGTTAATACATTTATTATAACATACACACATAGTGTTCAAATTGGGATCTGTAATATTTTCTAATGTTTTAAAAGAAGTCTCTTCTCAGCAAGGCTGCGTTTATTTGTACAGTAAAAAAAAAAATACATGCCTGATTCAAGAAGGGGGTCTGATGGCCAAAAAATATTGTTTTTCTAACTTATTAATTTTAAGTTAAATTGTGCTTTGTTGGTATAATGTCTGCTAGACTTTTAAACAATGTTCAGTGTTAAATCTTTTTAAATCATTGTTTTTGTAATTGATTTTTTCTTTGAAAAGCAAGACAAAACCGTAAAAAGCTATTTAATTTATGCAATGGTGAAAAAACCGGCAAAATACATGCAGGAATAAAACGCAAAGAAAAAAATAAAACCTGTTCGTATTCCGCCTTTGGCCCAGTGTTTCATTTTGTTTGGTTTCGGCCAAGAATTTTCATTTCGTTGCATTCCTGGAAACTTTCCAAATGTTTCTGGAATGTTTCACTTTGCAACCCTAGTACCAGTTTCTTCTACCAAACTTCCAACTGTGAAATAGTTCGCTGGCTTTAACTGTCACTTACCGAGGCACCTCACCCAGCAGCAAATAGTTTTGTCTAGGTTTTGCCTTAAACTCTATTAAAAGCAAATTCATGGACAGTGACTCAATGTAAACTGTAATTTTACAATCCTTTCTTTTTAAAGCTGCATTTTATTGTCTCCGTTTCGACTTGTGTGATGTAAACAGAGATGTTTGGCACCTGTTGTCATTGATCGACA